TTTTTTTGCAGAACCGAGGATTGAACTCAGGCCCTTGTGCTTGCCAGGGAAGCTCTTATTCTACTGAGCCATCTCCCTGGCCCTTGATATGTTGTAATATATTTAAATTATACCTTTATCTGGTATCATTTTATTGGCAATCAGTACAGAAGTGATGAATACTACCAGTGTGTTTTAAGTGGAATGCTACATAGTGAATAGAAGTCAGAATGCTAAAATCCTATATGACTAGAAAAGTCTCTTTACTAAGTATGGAAAACCCCTACCAGATCCTGTTGCTTGGTATTTTTTAAATGAAACTAAATGAAGTTAATTTATTTTAACATTTTACAGGATAAACTAAAATTGTCTAATGCACTTATAGTCCATTATTTTTGGCTCACTGTGGGAAGAAAGTATAAATGTACATAATTATTTCAGCCATAAATATTTATTGAGGTCTTTTAGTGTCTTTATTTACTGTTTGGTGCAACATTTTGAAGTTGATACTAAATTCTCATTTCCCTGAGGTTAAAAAGATTATGATTTGTTAAAGGCTTGGAAATGACTGAATCTGAATTGTACACAAGGCTGACTCCACAGCACAAAGTCTGAAAGTCTCACTGCGAATACTGTTCACTGGAGCTGTACTCCTCTCCCAGGTCTACTTTCCCAAATCAACCACAAACTTTGCAACTTCAGGAAGCAATTCTCACATGCAGAAGTCTGGAGTCCTGGAGAGGTGCTAGAGCAGAACATCTTAATGGCCCCGATTGCTGCTGGTTCAACAATTTCCTTATCTATGGCAGCCCGGCTCCAGTCTCTGCTTGGTGCTTCACAGAGTCTCTCTCCTAGCTCTCTAGAACTTTGACTTTTGGTCTCCTGTAGAGGAATTGGCCATTGGAAGTAGGATGTTCCCTAGTCCAGGAGATCTAATCTGGTGATTCTCACTTTGTTAGACTGGAAGGTAGCATTTCTTTGCTTTTATCTAAAATTATACAGCTCCTAGGGCTGGCTAGATAGCTCAGCGGACTAAAGTGCCTGCTTAGGCAGAGCGCAGCGCCTGGGGTTAGATCCCCAGCATGCTGTGCCAGCCCCGGCCTTGCCCCCGGGGTGCACTGAGACTGAGATTAAAACTGGGTTTGGTGGTGTACGCCTGTAATCCCAGTGGTTGGGAGGCTGAAAACAGGAGAATCACTAAGAGTCTGATTTACGTAGTGAGACCTTGCAGAGCCTGTCGTAAAATACAAAAATAAAATAAAATTATACAGCTCTTTGGTAAAAATGGTTGCATTTTACATAGCTTTGAATTTTATATCAATGAAACAACATGATGTGTATGATTTTGTATTGTGCATCTTTTACTTAATATTCCAGGAAACTTAAATGATTGAAGGTGGCTGTGATTAATACATTTTCTTTACAATGTAGCTATACTTTTTACATTGTTGCACTTGGGTTATATTCTATTTTTGGCTATAGTAAAGACAATTTCTATAGACATTTTATATATTTATATAAAACCATATATATATATATATATATATATATATATATATATATATCTGTTCAGTTTTATGTGAGATGTAGTCTCTAGGTGCAGACAAATTGTTTTTCAAAGCAATAGCAGGAGTGTACCTCTTATCAGCAGTTGTATGAGTATTCTCATTTTTCTCACATATTTACATAGCCAATGGTATTGACTGAAATTCCAGTTACTTACTATTTCTATAACTACACAGTTGTATTTGATGGACATTTAAATTTAAATTTCCTCAACTATCAATGGAATTGAATGTACTTTCATGGATATATTGGATTTATACACAGTGAACTTTTAGTTCAACTATATTTTTTTCATTTTTGATTTGATTGTCTTTTTTCTCCTATCTTTCTTCTTATGGTATAATTATGATTGGGAATCCATTCTTAATTACACATGTGGTAAATATTTTTTTCTCTTGTGATGCTTATCTTTATTGTATTTCTTATGTTTTGATCAGCAGAAATTCTTTTATTAGCGCAGTTAATTTTATCCATCATTTTCTTCGTGGTTAATGTGTCATAATTTAAAGCATTCTTTTCTACTCTCTGCTACCAATGCTTTTTTGTAATTCTTATTGTGTGCCCCTGTCACCAGCTAAACCCTTTACTGATTAACACATTTTTTTAGAGAAGTACAATGTATAGCTTGAAATCAGGCCTTACTTATTAGGAACAATTCTGTCCATTTAAGATATCTTGTGTAATTACTGTACTTTTTTTATAGGTTAACTTGAAGGCCTGTCTTAATTTGCTTCTTTTTAATCTTCTTAGGAGACCTGTTATGGTGAGCCGTAGCTATCCAATAAGCATGGATGAGAGTCTGCCTTGAAATTGGTTTGCTGTGACAGTGCTGTGGAAAAGAGAATCTCCCTAATTGATCTCCCTGTTGACCATGACACGTCATATTAGTCAGGTAACTGACTACAGGGAACATTTAGCCATTACCACATATTTTATATATGACATTTCAATAATTTATCTGATGAAAGCTATAAATACAATATAACTGTGGTAATTTTATTGTAGAGGACTATGAGACTCAGAGACTTCAAGTAACATATTACAGGGCAAGCTAGGAAATTAAGGGATGAAATATGAAGTGAAGTGTGATTGTATTTTTGCTTCCTTGTAAGGTCTTTCTTTAAATGCAGTTTCAAATTTTATAGTGACAAACTCATTTATTTCAAATATCATCAATTTCAGTAAATGAAAGAGTTCGGTTAGAATTTAAACTATTCTAGATTTTTTTTCTCTGTGAGCACTTACACCTCATCTACATTCAAGCAGAATCACTTACTTCTGACCATCTTTGGCAACTTTTCCCTGTGATTTTACATGTGTGTAAAGTAGGGAGCAATTTCTTTTTCTCTAGTGAATTTTGGGGTGTGGCATAAAGAGATGTTTAGACAACATCTTGCATGTACAGTTGGACTCTTAAAGGTTTAGATCTTAGTCCACCAAAGGTCCATATATTGAAGGCTACACATGCAGCTGGCGCCATATTGGGAGCTGGCAGACCTTTTAGGAGTAAGGCACATGGTAAGACTGCTGCCTTATTATGCATATGCCTGTGAAGGCTGTAGTGGGACTCTGGCCCCTTCTCCTCTCTCTCTCTCTCTGTTCTGTGGCCCCCATGAGGTCACTTTGCTTCTTCATGTGCTCTCCATCATAATGTTCCACCTCACCAAAAACCAGATATGATGGAACCAACTGACCCTGAACCAAAATCTTTGATCCCATGAACCAAATCAATCTTTTCTCCTTGCAGCTTATCTCAGGAACCTGGCCACAACAATGGAAAGCAGACTAGCAATGGATTTTAATGTTTATATTATTTAATTTTTGACATATATGTTAAATCATTGAATTAAGGAAAGAAATGAGTAAGAGGAAGGAAAAAAAATATCCAATTTGGAGACTTTCATTTACCATTTTTCTGTAACATCATTTGACTATATGGTTACCTTTTGGAAAGATTATTTCCGGGAAGATATTTATTTCCAATTAAGTAATACAGTCATAGGGAACGTAAGTTTCATTAGTTTAAAGCACTGAAAATCATATTTGCATGCTGGTAAAGATCATATTGAATACTTTTGTCTCAGAAATTATTTTTTAAAGGCAGACTCAGTGTTCTCAAAAACTTCTAGTAGTCATAAACTGATAACAGAGATGAATAGTTCTTGATGGGAGAGAGAAATTCATAAATGTAGACCTACTAGTCTTCTGGCTCTAGGTACAACATAAAATGACAACATCTTTGTAGACAGATTGTGAGAAAAATTTAAATGCGTTGTCAGCATTTATATAATACCTATATAAATACATTCACGCTTTGAGATTTTGAGAGTTTTCTAATCCCTAATTGCCTTCTAGCATAGGATTATGGACAACTTACTTTTTAGTTAATTCTTAGAAATTGTAATATTTACATAGTGATCAATTTTTGTGAAAGTTTCGATATTCAAATGAAGACCTAACTTCTCAGTCTAGCATTAACTACTAGGGAGTAAACTATGTTTGCATGTCCTATCTGTGAACTCTTTTTTAATATTTCTCCCTTTGAAAATACTCATTTGTTCTTAGATTTGAAATCTTAGTAAACATATGCTGCTTAAAACAATTGTGCTTTATAGTAATAGTCTTGTAGATGATGAACACTACAGCGTGATTGTCGTGTGCCTCTCTCAGATGAGTTATATACCTGTCACAGTTTCAGGACATATAGCTGTTGTCTAAATATATGCTCTAGCAGTTGACATAAATGAAAATCTGAGCAAATCTGGATTATTCCGCTGAGTACTGAGGAAGAAGAATTCTTTTAAAATCATACTTTTAAATTTCCTTTGAGTCTCTTTGATTCTCTCTCCTGATATTGAGAGAGGTCCAGAGAGAATGGAATTTCCCAAAATGTAGACAGTTTTATTCAGAACTTGAGTCCTGCAAATATTTTTTCTCTTACTTTGAAATACATAGCTTCACTTTTGCCTTTAAAATGCTTGCTATAAAGCTTGAACACAGTGTATGTTTCCCCTGCTTTGAGATACAGATGGCAAAAGTCTTTAGTCTGCCAAGAAATTTTATTTGCTTCTAAATTCCTGTCCCATTATAAGACTGTGTTGTATTAAGATTTCAATAGTGCAAATAAGGGTCAAGACTTCTTTGTTGATGAAATATTAAATCACCCTCTGGCTTTTTTACACCTGACAGTTACTTTCGACTTAATCTTTAAAAACGGAAGTTCATGGGTTTTTCATTTAGTAGAGTAGTTGGATTTTATTCATGTTCAAACTCATTGAAACCTGCCAACCATATAAAAGCGGTTGCCAGTATGGGAGAACTCTCCCTTGTGTTGTGCATAAAAGGGTTTCACTGTTTAAAAGTGAACTTAAAATAAATATGTATCCCCCTCTTAGTAAAGGAGCGCTTGCCTGTTTGCCACAGGTGGCGTTCTGTAAGAATGTGGAACAGAATAGGCTTGTGTCATCTTTCCCATTATTTCTCCAGACTGCGTTTGTGTACGTTTGTTCAAAATAGAGCATTTTGATGGTAGTTATTTTAGCGGAATCCTGAATGAAATGAGGAGGAGACCCAGGAAGCTTTGTGGGGGACACTGAAGCTTTCCAAACTTTTGCCTTCCGAGTCTAGCAGGAATATCGTTAGTAAAGATCACAGGACCATAGGGCGGCAGCCTGCTGTCTCGCTCCCACCCCGTGCGGTCCAGTCCGGAGCGCAAACAGAAGCACGTGCCAGTGAGGCTGAAGCCAGCCACAGACAGCACCTGCTCCATTTCCTCATCTCAAAGGGGAAGTCCTTAAGGTGTCCCTTAAGTTAGTTGATTTGTATTAAACGGTGATATAAAATGGCATTTAGAATGCTAGTTTCTTGTCTCCTACTGTTTCCTGTGCTGGACTGCATTTTCTGAGAATCCACATGAGGATGATAATCTCTTGACCGTTTTAAGAATTTTTAGCATGTAGTGTTTCCTTATTTTTCCAAGTTTATTACTATTGAAGTCTCAAATAAACCTTTATTTTTCCCTAACTGAGTCTATGTCATCATTCAGAAACTAGTTTGTATATCTTCCCAATTTTACTCTTTCTATAGGGTGGAAATGTTTGTAGCATTAGAAACAGTAATCACAACTATATATGGGTGCATGTACATTTATAACTAAACAAAAATGTCCATGTGTAGAGTCCCCAAAAGCATAGAGTCATGTATTTTCATTGAATTTTGTATACAATTCCCAAATGGAGTCCCAAGTAATTGGTCTAACAACTCAGCAGAAGGTAGCTCACTAATACACTTTTCGAGAACATATTTAAGTCATAAACCCATTTGCCCCAGGTCAGGGAGGTTGTTTCTGAACTTTATGGGGGGGTCCAAGTTCATGAAATTATTCATAATTTATAGTGTAGTAGTAATAAATTTATTGCAGGTACTAGATTGTTATTGCATGTTGAGCTTGTAAGGTAAATCATTTAATATTTTTAAGACAATTTGTATTTTTAAATTGAAGATACTAAAAATACACATAATTGTGTACATTTACACAGAATTTTAGAGAAGAAATTGGTTCTTTGCTACAGTAATACAACTGTTTTCCAGGTATCTTTTCTGTGTAATAGTCACTACTCTTTAATATGTCCATGATTAAATGGCTTAAATGAATATAATACTGTAATGAATGTAATACTGTATAATACTTTGTTTTTAAATATACAAAAGGATCTGACAAAATATTTAAAAGGGGTTAGGGAGATATCTCCACAGTCTAACTGCCTGCTTGGCAAGTGAAAGGACACAGATTTGATCGCTAGTACTACGTGCCCTGCCAGGGCCCTGCACCAAGTTGGCCACTGAAACTGGGCTTGGTGGGGCATGCCTGTAATCTTAGCTCTGGGGAAGCTGAGACAGGAGGATTGCTCCAAGTTTGAGATGCATAGAGAGATTCTGTATGAAATAATGGAGTAACTAAAAGATTTAAAAAAATATTATAAAGGCATTAGGTGGCTCTAAAAATCTGCTTTTATGGTTCCTTTGGAGGTACCCCATGCTAGATTAACTTAATCTTTATTTCTTAGTCACAATTTACCCTTAAGCAAACTGGGTGTTTGCTAACTATTTCTTACAATTGGAGATGCAGCATAATAAATCACTTTTCAGTCTCTACAGGGGAGTATGTATACAAGTGAATGATAGCACATTATTGGTGTAAAACAGTTGTTCACTGAAGAAAATATATGGCGTTCTTAGCACAAAAACAAATTCAGCAACAGTCTTCCCCACAAGTGAAATGCAGCTAGTGTCCTAAATTTCTGTGTTAGGGATCCTTTCCGCTGTTCTGGGGCTAATGGTTACTCGTGCTCTTACAGGCAAGCCGGAGTGCGCTATTAAGCTCTGAAAGAAAATGTGGCTAAATCATAGATTAAAATGCACATGTTTGAAATGAAAATGTTTACTTTCTTAAAGCACAAGATTACAAATAGAATGCCAGAATTAAAGGTCAGTTTTGGAATAAGCTCTCACATCATGAATTTTATGAACAAGCCTTAGAAAGTATGAGGAAAGAAAAATCAACAGTATATCAAAGTGGTTCTCTGAAAAGAATATTTTAGTTTCCTTATAAAAATAAAAACATATGAACTTCACTGAGTATGAGGATATAGTAATTGATATTTTGTTATTTTAAATACTCCCCATGTAAATGAAGGAGAACAGAAATGAAAAATGTGCTAAAAGGGAAAATAAAATGGAGAAACTGTAGGAAAAGTAGAAAACAGATGGGGTGTGCATTGAAAATGCAATTATATTGAATAGCAGAAGAGAAAATGGTGCAAAGCAGCCTATTCTTTTGTTACTGGGATCAGAGCTCTTACTACTTTAGATCGGTGGAGTCCTTTTAGCCACTGAGCTCCCTTGGCCAATACCTAAAATAAAATTAAGTCTTATTCTGTGCTAATATAATCCATCTCTTGTCTGAGCATGATTTTAATATTTAGTTTTTAAATATCAAAGAAATTACACAGAGCAAGTAATTCTCAAAGCACTGCCTGAGTTTGAGCTGTTTCCTTTCACAAGAACCAGAAGGAACAGAGTATATGCTCCTATTTACTTTCATGAATTCTTTTATTATAAAATTTGACAGAAGAAACCAGGGAAAGAGAGGAGGAAAACCCTCAGAGACTTTTACATTTTCTTAGCTGACAGAAAAGCACACGACATTCGGTAATTTTTTTCTTTCTATATTTATTGTGTATGAAATCTGACAGAAGCCAGACAATTCAAGAAATGTGCATTTAGGGTTTTTGTTGTCATTCTTGTTATTGTTTTTCTTTCCTAGGGAAAGAAAGGTTGGAGGTGCCTTTGCAGGTGATTGCCAGGTAATTTTTTTCTTAAGTAGCAAATTCTCTGAGATTTAAAATCAACAACACCCAGTTCATGTGTTACTAAATATAAGCTTCCCAAAGGTGAAGCACGCACACCGTGTGCCTAACTCACAGAAGCTGACAACGGAAAGGAAAGAGTTTGCAATATGCAGATTCCACGCTGAAGTTTGTGGAGCAAAGCTCTGGGGGCTGAGTCACAGACGCAGGGGAAGCTGTTGTTTCCCTGAGAGCACCGCGCACTTTGCCTTGCTATTGTCTCTGACTAAAGGCTGGTAGGAGGCTTGCAGGATTTATGGAAAAGGAAGACTATAGCAAGGCATTGCCTGACATAATCCATCTCACGGTCATCACAGTAAAACGTGTGTTAGCAAAGTAGTGGCTTAAGGGTGACAAGTTCATGTTTAACAGTGACATTCTACAATGCTATTACTCCCATGAGAAATTTAGACAGTTAGCATGGAGAGGGCAGAATATTAAGATTTCAATTCTACTGTTATATTCCTAAGAATGCATAAAACTGCGTTTAAATGATAGCTACTCAAATTAAGGTGTGTGGTAAAAACAAAGAAAGAATTTCAAGTAACCACAACCTTGCAATTTTAAACAATTGATCATTCACATCTCAGATCTCTGAGATTACCAGTGACACAATTATTTTGTTGTTGTTTTCTATACAATTTTTTGACTTTTTTTCAATGACTGAATAATTTTATTTTAGCACTAACGAAACTTTAAATTTTATATCACTGGTAGGAAGTTTGGGAACATTTTGGAATGAAAATGACTGTATCTGTAAAATATACAGTCATGTTAGTTCATTTCACATACTGAAGTACCAGTTTTCATGCTATTGCCAAGAGGAAACACGGTGTGTGGTTTT